CCCCCCGCTGCCGCCAGGACCAGGGCTATACGGTCGGCATGTGCTGGAGACGGCGCCAACGACTGCGAGGCGCTCAAAATGGCGCACGTGGGCATCTCGCTGTCGGAGGCCGAGGCGTCCGTGGCGGCGCCCTTCACCTCCAAGGTGGCCAACATCACTTGCGTGCCGACCGTGGTGCGCGAGGGCCGCTGCGCGCTCACCACCAGCTTCGGCACGTTCAAGTACATGGCGCTGTACAGCATGATCCAGTTCGTGTCCGTACTGCTGCTGTACCAGCACCACAGCAACCTGGGCGACGCGCAGTTCCTCTACATCGACCTGGTCATCACCACCACGGTGGCCGTGCTGATGGGCTACACGGCGGCGGCGCCCAGTCTGCACCGGCGCCGGCCGCCCGGCAGCCTGCTCGGCGCGCCCACCGTCGTCTCCATCCTGGCGCAGGTGCGGCGCATGGCGCGGGGCCGGCGACGCGCGCGCGGGTGGCGGGGCGGCTGGGCGGTCATTCACTCGGCGCGTCTGAGGTTAGGGGGAGTGTGCTGTAGGTTATCGCGCGACAGGTTATCGCGCGACACGGGCTCAGCGTGCGCGCCTTTCACAGGCGTGTTTGAAGAGCATTTCCCCAGTGCCGTTTCTGGAAGTCCCTTCTTGTCATTTATGACCTCTGGTTGATGATTTGAAAGTAATATGCACAGCGAAGGACGCGCATCACAATCATAACGTTCTGAAAAATCGAGCGGTCGGCACAGTGATGTGCACATGTCCTCGGATATCGCCGCTTACAAAGGTGTGCTATGTACACTTTAGACCATCAGCACATACGGTGTGTTGGGATTTCAGCTGTGTGGATCATGTACTGTAGAGGCGTGTCCTGAACGCGTGCCGCACCGGCGTGCGTCCCGCGTCACGTTGTGCCGTATATGTGCCGCTGGAAGTGGCCGCCGCCAACCGTGCTATCATTGGCTCATCGCCGCATGGTGTCGGTGCGTGATTGGTCGGCCACCCGTATGCTGTACTTTGATACGCCCGCTACGATTTGGGATGTGTGTGGGTGTGGGCGTCTGCGTGTGCGTGTGCGTGTGCGTGTGCGTGTGCGTGTGCGTGTGTGGTTGGCCCACTGCATCATGCCGAATCGTGATCGGCCCGGTACCGTCGGCATGCCCCGCCTTCGAACAGCTCAGCGTCCGGGTGTGAGGTCGCGATTGGTCGGCGGCTGCAGTCTGCCGCGGCCGTGATTGGCGTCTCGTGCCGAGGCCGGCCCGTGATTGGTGCGTGTGTGTGTACCGCAGGTGGCGCTGGCCGGCGCCGCTCAGGTGTCGGCCGTGCTGCTGCTGGAGGCGCAGCCGTGGTTCGTGCCGGTGTCGCCGCCCGCCGGCGAGGTGGAGACCGTCTGCTGGGAGAACACGGCCATCTTCTTCGTCAGCTCGTACCAGTACCTCATCCTGGCCACGGCCTTCAGCAAGGGGCCTCCCTTCAGGTGCGCCCCTCGCCCTGCTCTTGTGCTCTGGTCGGCGGCGGAGTGCTCCATTGTCGGCCAAGCTGTCGTGAAGCAAACCACTGCTCGGGCTTATCATGACGCGATGTGATGTGATGTAACGCTGCAGACAGCGGTCTTGCCCTCCACGCTAAGCACGATGGGTGTGCGACGCCACGCCCTGCGAGCGCAGGTGCGCTCCCCGGCCATGCGAACACCTGCAAACGGAGGCCGACCAACGGCGGCGGCTCACGTTACTCGTGGCGCTGGGGCGTACCTGGTGCCTGGTCGCCGCCCGCCCCGTGCTGACTGCCGCGCTCTCCGCGCGCTCACCAGGCGGCCGTTCTACACGAACCGCCTGTTCCTGGCGGCGCTGCTGCTGCTCTCGGCGCTGCAGACGGTGCTGGTGCTGTGGCCCGAGCGTCACCTGGCGGCGCTGTTCGGCCTGGCGCCCAGCCACGCTGACGACCGGCGGCTGCGCTACGGCCTGCTGGCCATCACCGCCGGGCACTGCGTGCTGGCGCTGCTGCTGGAGGTGAGGGGGCTGACGCTTCGGAGTGGCCTGCTGGCAGGAGGGGACTCTCCGGTGTCGTACTGGTGTGTGGAAGAGAGGCTACACTCCGGAGTGGTCCTACTGGCAGGAGGGGACTCTCCGGTGTCGTACTGGTGTGTGGAAGAGAGGCTACACTCCGGAGTGGTCTTTTGGCCGGAGGGGACTCCCCGGCGTCGTACTGGTGTGTGTAGGAGAGGCTACACTCCGGAGTGGTCTTCTGGCCGGAGGGGACTCTCCGGTGTCGTACTGGTGTGTGGAGGAGAGGCTACACTCCGGAGTGGTCTTCTGGCCGGGGGGAACTCTCCGGTATCGTACTGGTGTGCGGAAGAGAGGCTTCACTCTGGATTACTCTTCTGGCAGGAGGGTCTCTCCGGTGTCGTACTGGTATCTGGAAGAGCGGGGGGGGGGGGGACTCCCCGGTTCGTGGTGGTGTCTGAAGGGAAGGCGACGCTCCGGTATGGTCTTCTGGCGGGAGGGGACTCTCAGGTGTCGAACTGATGTCTGGAGGAGGGGGGGGGGGGGACTCCCCGATGTCGTACTGATGTCTGGAGGGGAGGCAACTCCGGTATGGTCTCCTGGATGGAGGGGACCCTCACGTGTCGTACTGGTGTCTGGAGGGGAGGCAACTCCGGTATGGTTTTCTGGATGGAGGGGACCCTCCTGTGTCGTACCGGTGTCTGGGGGGGGAGGGACTCTCCGGCTTCGTACTGATGTCTGCAGGGCAGGGGACGGCCCGGGCTGTTCCCGGACTCCCCTCAACGCTCAGTGCGGTGCCGCTCTCTGGATATAAGGTAACTCCGGGGAGGCGCCACTCGGCGGCAAGAGCCCGCCTCATGCGTCACCGTCAACGCTTCTCGGTTGTGGTCGGTGTGTGATGCATGCGAATACAACATGACGTTCCACGGCTTGCCTTCGTGACGTTGTCACATGATGTTTGTCATGTTTTGTGGCGCAGCCGACGTAGAGGGACTGACGCACGGCACGTCGCTGACAGCGTCCTGTGCGAGTGCTGTGGCGTCTGACCGCGACAGTCCGCGGCGTTCCCTCACGGCACTGATGCACGGCGAGCGCCTGGACTTGTCACGGTGGCCGTGGGACGTCACCGTGTGATGCTGACTGTGACGCGTGGCGCCCGACTGCTGACGGCTGTGGCGTCTGACTGCTGACGGCTGTGACGTCCGACTGCTGACGGCTGTGACGTCCGACGGCTGACGGCTGTGACGTCCGACGGCTGACGGCTGTGACGTCCGACGGCTGACGGCTGTGACGTCCGACTGCTGACGACTGTGACGCTCGACGGCTGACGGCTGTGACGTCTGACTGCTGATGGCTGTGACGTCCGACGGCTGACGGCTGTGACGTCCGACTGCTGACGACTGTGACGCCCGACGGCTGACGGCTGTGACGTCCGCCTGCTGACGGCTGTGACGTCCGACCGCTGACTTGGGTTGCTGTGCCGCAGACGTACGTGGTGGGCTCCGAGTGGACCAAGCGCCTGCTGCGCCGCTGCAGCTGCAAGAAGGGCCCCAAGAACCGGTACAAGCTGGTGCTGCGCGAACTGGAGGCTGATTCAACCTGGCCGCCGCTCGGCCAGAAAGTGCTGCGCACCGCCAGCTGACGTCACACCATGACGTCACGCGGCGGCACGGTCTGCGCGCACACGTGCCTGCGCGCGGCCTGTGCGGCGCTCGCGTGAATTAGAACGTTTTTAGCTCGGTCGGCAGTACGTGTTTTGGCAGGCTACGGGGGCCCGTCGTGGATCTCACTCGCCGTGTAATGGCCTGTCGGAGGGGGACAATCGCAACGTCAGCACGTGTGGGCGTGGCCGAGCGATTGGGGCCATCACTGGCGGCGGTGTCTGCGGAACAAACGCACGAGCCACAACACAGATGCGCGTAGAGCGCCAGGATTGCCCGTGTTGTGCTCCGCCTCTCCGGTAACGTCAGTGGATGTCTGTGAGAACTGAAGCCAGTTGGTGAGGACCGTTGCTGAGGCCAGTTGGTGACCACCACAGCCAGTTGATGATGCTCACAATTCTGTGTTTTGTCTGCTGTTGCGTGTGTTTGGATGCTGTTGCTCGCAATATTTTAAATGCGTCGGTACTCTGGGCGTGTCCGGACCAGTCTGGGCCCATTCCGTTTTGTATCAGGGCCAGGGGCCATAACACATCCACCTCAGCTCGCTCTAGCATTCGCTGACAATACCATGCCAAACAGTACCGAGACACGTCGCGCCGCCCATGTCCCAGCGCGCCGTGACCGTTGGGTTACCCTGACGTCACGTGCGCGTCGGTCGAGTCACGGCCGCGCCCTCTAGGGTCGCTAGTGCCCCGACCACGGCTGCCGGTGGAGGTCGCACCGCCGTGCGCGATAACAGCCTTTAACTCTGGCCACTGGCCGGCGTGGCGTCCTTGTGAACGGCCACTGTGGAATGGGAGCGTGCCCCCGCGTCGCGCTTTAACACCAGCTCGCCAGACCGTCCATTATCGTGTTCTCTTTTAACACCCAGTTCACCAGGCAGTTCACGATCGTGTTCCGTTTTAACACGACTTCGCCTGGCCGTTCATGCTCGTGTTCCGTGCTGCCGCCAGTTCAGGTGTCGCACGATGGCAGCCAGTCATTCCTAACCGCGCGCGCTCCTCGCGCGCAAAGCCAGGTACTTTCACACCACGGGTTTGCACCTTGTGTTTTTATCGTGACACCGGCCGCCCACGAACTGCACGATACACTACGCCCAGTCGTGTGTCGGGACTGTGGCCGTGGCCACTACTGCGCCATGTAACGGAGCGCTGTCAATACATATATACTGTGGAGAGGTCCAGGCAGACCAGTGTCCTCTGACGAGGCGGCGCCGGAGACTCTGGACATCTCGTCCGGTTCGGGAGCACGCGCCTCGCGTACAGCTGCACAGGCACACACGCACACAAACACACACCGGACCAGGCTGGCACTCTGCACTCGCACCGCGGAGATAGCGGCGGCCGCGAGGGCACCGCCGATGGGACTGCATTGCTGCCGCTCGAACTGCAGACTATCGCCGCGTCCCAACCGCACTGCCCCTCAGCGAACTGCACTGTCCGCTGTGGGGGCTGCGCTGTCACCGCCAGGACTGCACGGCCACTGTTCGTACCGCACTGGTGTCGCCTGGGCTGCGCTGTCGCCGCCCGACTGCACTTACGCTGCCAGGACTGCGCTGTCGCCGCCAGGACCGCACTGCTGTCGCTCGGGCTGCGCCGTCGCCACCAGGACCGCACCACCACTGCTCGCAGTGCACTGGTGTCGCCCGGGCTACGCTATCGCCGCCCGACCGCACTTTCGCCGTCCGCGCCGCGCCGCCGCCTACAGGACGTAGTCGAGCTCGTGCCGGATGTAGTTGTTTTTGCTGGCGGTGACGCGAGGGTAGCCGGCCACCAGCGCGTCCTGTCCGCCGATGTACAGCGTGTTGTACACCTTCCAGTAGACGTCCCGCACCTTGCGCGCCGGGTGGAACAGGCCCTGCAGCACACCGGTCAGAGGTCAGCTGGCGCACTCACGTGCGTAAACCGGAGGGGGGGGAGACCGGCATGGGGCAGCTGACACGGCCCCACAGGGGGAGGGGGGGGGGGCCAACTCGGGGCTCCATTGCTTGCAGCATGAGAACACATCTCCCATAATCGCACGAAAGGTGTGGCAAAATTGCCACTGGTAAGCACGTGAGGCGTTGCCACGCGTGCCAGCTTACTAATCTGTGAAATAATACAATTATCGGGCCTCGGCGCATTCCAACATCTGATGTGTTTTTTTAGCGTGTAGCGACTTAATGTGTGATAAAATGGGGGTCAGTTCTTTGCGCTACGGTGGAGCAGTGTCCCTGCACGACGTTAGTGAATTTGCGAAAGACTTCCCCTTCCTCACGCCCTTCTCTGAGAGCTGGTGAAACCGCCCGTACGGGTCCCGTAAGACCCACCTGCATACAGTACTGGAGCATCTTCTGCGGGCCGAGCGACACGCGCATGCCCTCCACGGCGTCCATGAAGGCCTGCACCAGGTGAGGCGACGTCTCGAAGATGTTGGGCCACACGTTGTTCAGCAGGTGGGTGAGGGCGTCCTCGCAGCCGAAGCCGTATACGCCCAGCGCCATGTGCTTGATGGCCGCGCACGAGGTCTGCCGGTGCACCAGGTCCCTGTGCGGGCAGGCGGGTCAGGTCAGGCCACGGGGACAAGGTACACGATGAGGCGAACCTGGTGAGCGTCATCGGAGGCCATACGTACAACGGGCCGCGCCCACACAGCCCGTTACCTGGATGAGCCACGCCTTTGGTGGGGCGACAACACTTGGACTAGTCGAAGTATACACGCTCGGGGTGGGTGACTCCGACAGATCATGACGGATGGTGTGGGGCTCCGTACACATCCATCCCCAAACGCAGTCAGCACAGCTCCTTTCCTCACTCGTCATCCGGTGAACAGTCGACCAGCCTCTCGCGAGACATTCCAGCCCAAAGGCCGACGCCGGGTCGGCTCTGCACCAGGGCTGATGGCTCGAATCCCCATCCATTCCCTAGGTGGCCGGGCACCACTGAAAGCTCCCCTGCCCAGCCTGAGCCCACTGCGTCCTTCAATTTCGGGCCCGGAGGCCAGAACGCGCCACTGGCCACGTCACTGACCAGTCTGAGAGCGACCCCCCCCTGGCCGCCTGCCTGGCGACGCCACTGACCGGTCCATCAGCGCGTCCTCGAACAGCGGCGTGACGGCGTAGATGTAGTCCTTGCCCATCTCGCCGATGTACTCGAAGAGGAACGACAGCGACTTGAGCACGCCGTTCTGCACGTTCAGCTCGGGCACGCGATACTCGTTCATCAGGCCGGGCAGTACGGTGAACGGCGAGCACGTCTCGGCCACGATGGCGATGGCCACCGTCGTGCACACGCGGTTCTGGCGCTCCTGCACCTTCAGGTTGTTGAGCAGCGTGGCCAGCACGTCGTGCGGTCTGTAACGCGGCCACCAGGGGCAGTCAGACATCAGGCACATGGGTGGTAACCTCTCGCCAGTAGTGCGAGAGGCCGGGATGAGGTTTATCTTTTACCCAGCAGCGACATAAGGGCAATTCAGGTTTCCATACTTCGGAGGGTGGCCAAAAGGCCTGCCCACCGCTCCCTACGCTGAAGAACACAGTCGGCAGAACGGTCCAAGCAAACGACCATCACGGCAAATTTGTGCAAATTTCGCAAACATCCAACTACGCTTTTCGGTGACCATTTTCTCCCTCATACCACACCAGGTAATGAACACGCCATGGGCGCTCACAAAGCCTCTCGCCGGCTCGCTATCTCCGACCTCGCCAGCGCGCCGACACCCCTGACCGCCGCCCGGCGCGCCTCACCCGATGGCCTTGGCGATGTAGCCGAACGTATTGACGGTGGCGCGCCGAATGGCCTTCTTGTGCGCCTTCAGCAGCTCGAGCAGCTCGAAACAGATGCGCATCCACTCGCGCGCCGACACGTACTCCGGCCCGCGGTCAGCGATGCGGCCCACCAGGTCGATGCAGTTCTCCTGCACCTGAGGGCGGCGGCCGGCACCGGTCAGGCTCGTCCGGCCACGGCCCGCGGAGCGCCGACCGGCCGCAGACACGGCACGGCGGGGCGGCGCGGTGGCGGCAGGCGGTGGCTGTGTTAATGAGGCAGGCACATGCGTGGTCGGTCCGAGGGGCTTCGCAGCCTTCACACGAAGTGATCAGCCTCCATACGAAGTCGAATCACTTAGAAACCATCTGGCAAATATCAGCGGTGTGCCTAAGAGCGGTTATCAAGTGCTCCGTAAGAACCACAACTACAAAACCACAGATGGCGTGTTATAGCGCACCGCCTGCTGGTTCACCAGCGCCTGCACTTCGCAGCGTCATGCATTCCCTCCCCCCCCCCCCCCCCCCCCCCGGCACCGCACCTTCTCGTGTCTGTTCTTGAGAATAGGCGTGAGTCTGGGCAGCAGGTCCTTGATGGGTGGTGTCATCTTGGTCATGCCGATGACGTTGACGATGGCCTTCAGGGCGCCGAGGATGGAGCCGAGCACCTCCGGGTACTCCTCGCCCAGGTACTCGTACAGCACCACGCCCAGATGGCCCATCAGCTTCTCCTGTTGAACGGACGCAGCGGGGTGTCAGACCAGGCGTCGCCCGACCGGCACAGACACGTCGCTGTCGGCGTCAGGCGGCGCGGCGCTCGACCGGCACATACACGCCACTGTCGGCGCCCGACAGCGTGGCGCACGGCCAGCACCGCCCCCGGGACGGATAACTCGCCGCACCATCTGATCTGACTGAAGGGGTGACAGCATTGGGGGACACACGGCTGTAGAGCGCTGCACACAGAATGAGTAGTGCCAAGCTCGAGGGGTTCACGCGCTGCTACTTTTTGCGATACTTTGTTGCTTGACTATCAACGACCTCTGATTCTAACCCTGGCCTTAACCACTCAATCAACCACCGCTGCTTTTAGAGTCGACTTTGACCACTTACATCAGTCGGGCATGGCGCCTTGTGGCTGCTGGGCGTCAGGCCCACTATAACCTCACCACACTCTTACTGATTCTACCACCCGTAAAACAATTGATTACCGCCATCCCTAACCCGTCCACTCACTTTCATTTCACGTCTAGTTCACTTGGAACGACGTGAGAATAGCCACCGTCGCAAGCGGAAGCGCGACCTCGTGCATCACAACGCCATTGGTAGCAATGTGTCCGACCCATCTGTGTAAACGGATGTCGTCTCAACCAGACACGCACATCATCTCGTGCTTAAGCTAGCTTGCTCTGGTTGACGCTCCGTGACGTCGCGTTGGAAGATAGTGAACACCATCGGTAGGTCGAGGCTAATCGACGGAAGAGCCAGAGGACATACACAAAACGAGATTCCAAACATGTGAAGCTTCCCAGCACCGGACGACAGTTCAGAGAACAAAGGATGATACTGTGTCCCTTCACCGCGTAGGCTGACCTATGCCGCTCCCGAAGAGGTGGCAGGCTACAAAAGCCAACCTAAAGGCGCTGGTAACTGGAGCCAACGCAGCGCTCGGAACGCCTTTGGTTGTGGAGTGACGTTCGCTCGTCATGTCTTCCCTACAGCAATCCCGTACACCGCGACTTCCAAGACATTTGCACTGGGCATATCACGGTAATGGAGCTCTCCAGCCGTCCCTAAAAAGGACACCCTAAGTAAGTTTGCCGTTACGTGCTGGGCACGAGGGCGAACGGGTGCGCGGCTGGCGCTGGCGGCGGTGGCGGCGGTATTTGTGTGGCTGCATGCCCTCGTTCCCGTGTGTATGGTAGACCGACCTGGTGTAACATAAACTGTTCGTAGATTCGCTCTAATATAAGCCCGTCCGTTCGCTAGTGGCTGGGTCTGCGACTGTAAGCTACCTTTTCGAAAAGCAACGGACACTTTGATTTGTTCCAAAGCGGCGTGATCATCTGCTACGTGCATAACATGAGACAAGTGGTGTTATACATTCACTCTTCCAAACAACTTAAGTCGCAAATGGTCGC